TTTAAATGTGTCTAGGGTTAATTACCTTTTTTAATTTTAAAATAATAGAATGATAATTCTCCAAAACAAATGCTATGAGTGATAAGGCAGAACTCATGCAAAGCAGAGAGTTTTCATGTTATCAGGTGCATATTATAAGAAACCAAAATAAACATTCAGTACTTATTTTATTATGACACAATGTACATGTTCTAAGAAACAGCTATGAATACTTTTTCACCTTTATAGCGCTTTAAAAATCATATATTAGTCCTAGCACCTTAGCATGGCTGAGTAACATGCAATGTGTTTCTTCAGTGGTGTCCTCATAGTGCATGTGTATTAGGGGCATATCGGATTTTTGGGATCAAAGTGTAGGGATAACGTCTAGGCATTACTGACTTGGGAATTATTAAACTTGACTTTGTTGAAAATTAATTTGAAGACACTTATTCTTGCAAAAGCTCACCTCTTGAAGAATTAATTTTAGTTTTTAGCAAAAAAAAAATTCATTGTGAGCAAAACACTGAGATAATTTAAAAGCAATACTTTGCCCTATCTAGGACAGGAACATAAGCGAATGAGCAGTAAAACCGGCCTCTTTATTTTAATTGTAGCTCCTATCACAACACGTAAATAATTAATGGAGGCTGCGTAATTAATTCTCACATATGCACTTATTTTTCTGGTTGAATAAGGTTTGGTGAGAGCTGCCTCTCTGAAAGAAGGATATAACCACTGAGGTGTGTACCTAGAGCAATTGATGTTGATGAGGTAGGAGGCAAGCATGAATCTGGGTGTGATGAATGCTAGAAAAGCTGTTGAACCAAATCTGGCTCTTAGTTTCTTTATATGAGCGGTAAGAAGCACTTTCTGTCTAGGGCTGGAAGAAAGTGTTTTCATAAAGATGCTTGGAAGCAACTTCTGCTCTCTGACCTTAGATAATGCCAACATGACTCACCTCTCCTTACCCTCTAACCACCTCTGAAACAGTCATTTGGCATTCCTTATTCATTGGAAGACTGCAAGTGCTGAGATCATTAGTCAGCTTGGAAGACCGTGAGCTGATGCTTCACACTGTGGTCCTGGTGCTTACACTGCTTACAGGAAAGTACTGACTGCAAGCTGTACACTGAGCTCAGTGCATGTGATTTATCATGTATGAATACTGCTATTTTCCTCTTGTCAAGTCATGACTAAAGTGTGTCACCATCTTCCTGCAGTGCAAGGATTCTCCTTGTCTCCTTGCTGAGTTGCTCCTGCTACAAGTCTAGACATCAATAGGACTCTTCCTGCTTTAATCCACTGTAATTAAAGGGAGCCACGTCCATCACGTTCACATACTGTGAACCATGTCTGACACCAGATCAGTCACAGCCTTCCTTTATGATGACAGCTTTGGAGGCTGGAATATTTAATTTAACTTTTTATCCTTTCAGAAATAGTCCAGACAGCTTTATGAAGGACTCTGCTCTCTTTAATTGGTGCATGCACAGTTTTAGAGTGTCCTTCATAAGCATATAGAAACAGAGAATCATAGTATCCTTTAGATTGAAAAAGATCTTTAACATCATCAAATGCAGCTGTTAACCCAGCACTGACAAGTCTACCGCTAAACCATGTCTCTGAGTGCCACATCTACGTCTTTAAGTACTTCCAGGGATGGTGATTCAGCCACTTCTCTGGGCAGCCTGTTCCAGTGCTTGACAATCCTTTCCATGAATAAATTTTTCCTAATATCTAGTCTAAACCTCTCCCGGTACTTGAGGCGATTTCTTCTTGTCCTGTCACTTGTAACCTGGAGAGCAGACCAACCCCCAGTTGGCTACAACCTCCTTTCAGGTAAGTTGTGGAAAGTGATAAGGTCACCCCTGAGTCTCCTTTTCTGCAGGTTAAACAACCCCAACTCCCTCAGCCGCTTCTCATCAGATTTGTGCTCCAGACCCTTCCTCAGCTTCATTGCCCTTCTCCGCACATGCTCCAGCACCTCAAGGTCTTTCTTGTAGAGAGGGGTCCCAAACTGAACACAGGATTTGAAGTGTGGCCTCACTTGTGCCAAGCACTGACCATCACTGCCCCGGTCCTATCATCCAAGGGAAAATCAATTGACAATACATTGGAAGTTGGTAAACAGAGAAAAGAACTCTAAGCTTCTAAAGGGATCCTTTAGAAAGTTTCTAGTTGGAAAATAAAGTATTTCAAACAATATGCACTGGTATATTCTATCCTATTGACACAAATGGTGCTTTTAGCTGGCTAGCCAAACTGTGTTCAAGGCAGATTGATGATGTTAGTTTGAACTTATTTTAGAAATAATGGTAAGAAAAAGATTCCTATGATGAAGTATGTTATGTGGATGACTACCACATTTTTTTCTTAGGTGACTCTAAATTTATACTGAAGTATGTTAGAGAGAAAAATGGTGTCTAAAGAGATTTCTCATTTGACCTTGGGCAAGTTTTTATTCTTTCTATGCCTCAATTTCCCATCTGTATAATGGAGATAACAGGATTTTTTTAATCCTTTAAACTATATGTCAGTGCTATTCAGATTTTAACCTTCTTGAAGTAAAGACATGTTCATACCGTTTGTACATTCAGCATTTTGAGCAATGACAGCAAATCTCATTTGGGACTGCTTTTGTCCTCATAATTTAAAATGATTCCAAGTAAGATTTGAGTGTGCATTTTTACTTAATTGTGGTCAGAATAAAGTAGGAAAACTTCATGTAGTTGCAAATTAAAACTTTGGCAACAGGAATATAAGGATGAAAACTTTTTTCTTGGTCTGTAGTTACTACTTCAAGGAACTTATTTCAGGAAGCCTTCATGACCTGTCTCCTGTTTATTTTTTTGGTAGATATTCCAAGAAGGTCTGTGCTACTGAGCTTTACAAAGCAGTAGAAAAATGCACAGTTTCCATTTTTGAACCCCGCTCTGTACTTCTGATGTATCACATGATATTTCTCATGTCTCAAATGCACAAGCCAGATAAAAATTGTGCAGTCTTCGCTTCCTCCAAACACTCTTTTCAGACACTGCATGCAATTAATATAGCTTTTGTGGACATGAACTATTTTTCACTCTTCAATCCTTCACAGAAAAAAAAAAAAAAGAGTTTAATTACAGCAGTTACCTACCTTCTTTTAAACAGCACCTGTTTAAAAAGCTACCTTTGGAGCCACTTTGCATCTTTCTGGGGAGCTCTAATCTGTCATAACTTTGATAGTAAAACTAAAGAAAAGTAACCTAAATTTATAAATACTTATAAAAAGAACTGTTGTGCAGAATTTACTAAGAAGAAGTTGCTGTTCATACCCAATCTTTAATGACGCAGAAGAAATGTTGTCTTTGAAAGCCCAATTGTGTATTAGACTGCTATATCTAAATTGCATGTAGTGCAGCACCATGCTAGATATACTGTATAAATAGATATACTGTATAAATAACTCTTGCAACACCTTGGTCACACAGCCCCAGATTACAAACGCACTTCTATCAGATAGCTGTTTCAGCAGTGAGGCCTGGAGAAATAATCTTACCTGAATTTCCATTGCTTAAGATAAAAAAAAAAAATCCTCTTCCATTTTTTTATAATTCAAAAAATTAATTTATACAACAGTTTCTTTTTCATCCCTTATAGAAATTTGGCTCCTAAATTTTACTACAACTACCTCATTTTCCTTAAAAAATGCATGACATATGTCAGTGGCTGCTAAGTTAGCTCTGCATGTGGTCTCAAGTATATTGCAAGAATTTTTCCTGTTAGGCATTCTTAACTAATGGGTTAATAATGCTCCTTCTCTTGTTTTTGCTTCTGAGAGTGGTGTGAGAACTTTGCTTGTCTATCTTTTCTAAGCGAGTATCTTTCTGTGCATTTTCTGTTTGGAGGATGATATGGCACTGCAGCAAGGATTCCCTAATCTCTTGGTGATAAGCTATGTGGAATCCTAGCCCAGAGCTCTGTCCCACTAGGGAGATAAATCATGTTTCTGGATTCAACCTCCCCAAGGCACCAAGGAGGAGGTGGAATCCGTTGTCAGTGTAGGGTTATGGAGAGTTCTTTCTCTGGGTGACATTTGCTTGTCACTACCAAAGAAAATATGTGCTGCAGGCTGCTTTAAATAGGGCAAATCACTTCATGCCTAAATATATCTTGCAGGGCTGTTCCTACATTTAATGCAAAGGGCATAATTCTATAAAAGTTGTTTGTTCTCTGTACATTTGTCAAAGCTGAAGATT